CAAGAATTTTGATCTGTTTAACTAGCCGTCAATAGGAGCGCTCGGAAATCCGGGCTTCCTGAAGGAAAAATTCGAGATAAAATTCCTTTGCCATCCGATCTTTCTGATATTTTGCAGTTAGCAATAAATAGCTAACTACTAACTTTTTGCATCAAGTTTTTCAAAATCCCGATCAAAAAAAATGTTTGGCACTTTGCCAAGTCGGAGAGGAGTCGGCAGGGCACCCTGAATGGGGCGGAATTTTTTTGAATTAATGTAGAAATACTCAGTAACTTCCACATGAAGCATTTAAATGATACAAAAAAACAAACAAAACTTTATTTCCGCTCAAAAACTATCCAAAAACTCTGAGCCAATTTTCAAAAAATCCAAATTTCGGTAAAAAAAACCCCGTTTGGCCCATAAATCGATATTTTTGTATTTTTTTATCAACAGTTGTTATTTTTGACGTTCAGGAATAGTCAAAAAACGGATTTGAAACAATTGTAAACTGGCCCATAAACAAAATTCTCCCCCCCCCCGATAATGCGAAAGATCATGCGGAAATTTACATAATCAAATTCCCCAGCAAAAACCTAAAATCCTGGGCAAAAATTTCGACATAATAAAATGTTTGACATTCGCGATTACGACTTTATGATAGCAAATCCTTTTTTTCGGTGTTCTGGAATCATCCTGCTGGGGCTCATCCTCATTTTTTTGGACATGAAGGCACGAAAAAGGAGAGTATTTGCATTTCCGCCCATTCGAGTGGGACCCCCTCGAGGGTGTCACATTTCACGGCTCATCTACCCATCCACACTGACAGCCAGATTGGCTATTGGAGTGGAATGGAACAGAAGAGGGCTGGCTAGCAGAGATTGTTTGAGGAAATGGACGGACCCCGAGAGGAGGGCAGGCTAGCAGAGATTGTTTGAGGAAATGGACGGACCCCGAGAGGAGGGCAGGCTAGCAGAGATTGTTTGAGGAAATGGACGGACCCCGAGAGGAGGGCAGGCTAGCAGAGATTGTTTGAGGAAATGGACGGACCCCGAGAGGAGGGCAGGCTAGCAGAGATTGTTTGAGGAAATGGACGGACCCCGAGAGGAGGGCAGGCTAGCAGAGATTGTTTGAGGAAATGGACGGACCCCGAGAGGAGGGCAGGCTAGCAGAGATTGTTTGAGGAAATGGACGGACCCCGAGAGGAGGGCAGGCTAGCAGAGATTGTTTGAGGAAATGGACGGACCCCGAGAGGAGGGCAGGCTAGCAGAGATTGGAGGAGGAAATGGACGGTCCCCGAGAGGAGGGCAGGCTAGCAGAGATTGGAGGAGGAAATGGACGGACCCCGAGAGGAGGGCAGGCTAGCAGAGATTGTTTGAGGAAATGGACGGACCCCGAGAGGAGGGCAGGCTAGCAGAGATTGGAGGAGGAAATGGACGGACCCCGAGAGGAGGGCAGGCTAGCAGAGATTGGAGGAGGAAATGGACGGACCCCGAGAGGAGGGCAGGCTAGCAGAGATTGGAGGAGGAAATGGTTTTCTGGAGTTCATTGACCACCAAATTCATCCAATCCGTTTTTGCCGATGCCCGAACACCCCCATTTGACCATCTATCTGACATAGCTTTTCGAGTGTTCTCTCGGGCGATCCGTAAAAAAGCCCCCCCTTGTATGATTGTTGTCCATTGTATTGTCGCGTAGACGAAATCGTGTCCCCCTTGAGGGTACCTTAAGTGTGGCTGCCGCCTTTTATTGGGCAAACCGGCAGATCTATGCATATAAATATGCCGACCAAAGGAATCTAGGAATCTCTGTTAGCCGCATCAAACATTTGGTCGAATTTTTGCGCGGGATCTCCAATTTAATTGCCGCTACAACCGTTCCTTGCCCGCCCGCCATGCCTAAATCCGAGTCGTGGCTGTTGACGCTCGCCCTCTTTATCAGGTAATCTTTTTCTATTATTTTTTGTATTTTTAACAAAAACAACATGACCAAATTTGGTATCATAACGTCGAAAATCCGAACGTCGAAAGTTGTTATCTGGGAATTTCGGAATTCAGAATGTCGGAATTTCAAGTTTTCCGGGAAATTCGCCTATGCAAATTTCGCCATTTTTAAGGAAAGGCTCACTTTTAGTCGCAAGGATACCCAAAATCGCATTTAAATATGCGCGCGCTTTAATTTTGAAATAGTCTACTCCTACATTGACATTTCAGATACAAAATAATTTGCAAATAATTTCAGTTTGAAATACTTTTGTCTTAATCAATTCTCTATTTTTTTGCAGCAATTACGCCATCCAATTCCGCGACTGGCCGCAGTTCGTCCCGCCCGGCACCAGATTCCCACCAATCGAATTTTATTTTAAGGTATGTGCCTTTAAAGGGACCGGCAAGTCAAGACTATGAATTTTGTTGGCTAGACTTCCTTCTCAGTTTTCTCGCGTCAAAACTTGATGTTTCGGATAATTCGCAGGTTCGATTCCCATTCCCTCCTCTAATCTTGCTTTTTTTCTGAACTACGAAAAGAAAGGAAGACAAAGTCTAACAAAATTAAACCTTTTTCTGCGTCTTTTACGCAGTTTTTAGAGATAAAATCTCGAAAAAACTGCTAAAAAATGTCTGGTTGATTCGGAACTCCAAAAATGATGAAAAATAACCAAAAAATCAAAAAATCGAATTTTCAAAAAATGTTTAAAATATTTTTTGTAACCTATTGGCGATCAAAAGCCGCAAAAAACACTAGGTTATTATTACTTGTATTTATTTTAAAATACAATTAATAATTATTATGATTGGCACGGTTGGGCAAAAACCAAAAACTCTTTTTTGTCCCCCCCCCTCGCTAACAGTCTAGAACCGACAATTTTAAAGTTAATTTCTATATTTAAATTGGAATTTTATTTTATTTCGGTTAAAGTTAGTTTTTATTTTATTTAAAATACGGTTGATTTTATGACTTTATGTACTTTATGGTTTAATATTTTGGAATCTGATTAATTTACAAATTGTTGTTTAATGATTTACTTACAACTTGTCTGCTACAGTACGATTTTCAGGGGTACCCGGGAACCCGTCAAATTTATCCGCTCCCTCCACCCGCTCCGCCCCCTCCCGCGTCCGGTATTTTCGGGGATACTGTAGCGGCGAATGGTATGATTTTAATCATTTAATTTTTATTTATTAAATTAACAATTTTTCAGCTTAATTTTTTGCAAAAATTTTGAAATAAGATCTATTAAGTATGGTAGACCAAATTTTCTCTAATTTTTAATTGAACTAACACTATCCGGAATGGTTTAATGTCTTTAATCAGGCTACTCAGAAGAAGCCGAAAACGTCCACCCGCCAGCCCTTCCAAATTTCGGAGATCAAGTGTGTTTTGTTTAAAAAAGCAGAACAGCTCTTTTTTTGGTTTGCCAAAAAATTTTTTAAAATTTCCTAGATTCCCGCCCGCAGCCTCGGTGGCCTTCGTCAAAAGTGGGTGGAGCTGGGTGGACGGATAAAACCGCAAAAATTAACGCCAACGCCCACCCTGGCCCCGCCCCCGCGAGAGAGCACCCGATTTGGAGAGACGCAGAGAAAGCTGTGGCCTGCCAAAAATCCGGATACCCCGGTTGACCTCCCCGAAAATAGTCGGAAAATCGGACCACAACCTCCAAAAATTTCGAAAAACCAAAATGTCGAAAATTCCACTACTGTACCCGGGACGGAGAATCGTAGCCTAACGGAAAATTTCGTAAATTCTAGACTACAAACTCTAGAGCCTAGACTACCAACTACAAAATCTGCGCGAAATGAGGATACGACTGCCGAAATTTCCGAAAATCCGAGGCTACAAAGTACAGCCTCCCGACTACAGACTACAAAATTCCCGCAAAATGGGGATACGCCAGCTGGAATTGGTGAAAACCCGAGACTAAAAAGTACAAACTCCAGACTACAGACTACAACCGAGCCCAGGCCAGAAGCTACAGGAGACTCCCGGCTACAAACTACAGTCGAGCCAGGGCTGAAACGTCGAAAAATCCCTAAAAATGAATATACAAAGTTGGAGCCAGACCGAGGAATTTCGCGACTACAAACCTCAGGCCCGAGACTACAAACTGCACTGCAGCTCGGGCTACAGACTACAAATTCTTCCGAAAATTCGGAGCCTAAACCATCGCAAAAGCCCCCGAAAATGCGGCTGATCAGCGCCGGGGTGGTGGACATGGGCGTCGGGCTGCCCGCCCTGAAAAGAAAACCCAAAAAACCGCGAATCATGGAAATGAACGCCGAGCTGAACACGACTACAGACTACAACAATGACGTCGTACTGGATAGGTCGGTTTTTGGCGTTAATAAGGGGAAGTTTCCAACATCAAAAAGCTAGAAATACAGCATCCTTTAATTGAGAATACCGTTAAGATATCAAAACCACAGATTAACATTTTTTTTAATAGCTTCTCCGTTCGTACTTAATATTAAGATTGGATTAAATTCTTAATCGAAAAAAATGTAAATTTTAGTTTTCCGCCCTCCACCTCCAACCAGCCAGACGGATCGATAAGTGAGGGAGGTGAGAGAGAGCGAAAGAGAGAGAGAGAGGGAGAGAGAGAGCGAGATAGAGAGCGAGCGAGAGATAGGAGAGTGGGAGAAAACGAGAGTGAGTGAGAGAGTGGGAGAGAGCGAGAGAGAGTGAGAGTGAGTGAGAGAGATAGAGAGAGTGAGAGAGAGCGAGAGAGTGAGATAGAGAGCGAGCGAGAGATAGGAGAGTGGGAGAAAGCGAGGGTGAGTGAGAGAGAGCGAGAGAGAGCGAGTGAGAAAGATAGAGAGAGTGAGAGAGAGCGAGACAGAGAGAGGGAGACTGAGAGAGAGAGAGAGCGCGAGAGGGGAGAGAGAGAAATGGACAGGATAGCAGAGATTCTTTGAGCAAATGTATCAAATCTTGCGTTAAATAAAACTACATATATGTTTTCATGATTTACCGACATTTAGAAGCCGCGCCACCGCCCCCTCCACTCCGCTCAATCCACCCGCTCGCCATACCGAATTCCCGACGGAAATAGCTTGAAAAAATTTGTATGAATCGGAAAAACATTAAAGCTTGAAACATTGACATTTAACAAACTGAAAATAGCCAAAGAATCGCTGCCAGTTTTCTGTTGCAAGTTTTTCTCTGGGGCCCTCGTTTCTCGAAAGAAACCCTGCTAGGCCCACTACGTGCCTTTCTCTCTCTCTCTCTCTCTCTCTCTCTCTCTCACTCTCTCTTTCTCTCTCTCCCTCTCGGTCGAGTAAAGTACAGTTGATTCCGGCTGGCTACTCTGGACAGTCGGGGATCCCACCCCTTCCCCCAATTCTCCAAGAAAGAAAACTGGACATCCGTCTGTCTGTACAGGTGGCAATTTGATTTTCCTTTCTTCACCGTCTCTCTCTCACTCTCTCTCTCTCTCGTGTGCCCTCAGGGTATTCTGTCTTCCATAGCCCCCCCACTCACCTATCCACTTACCTGCCAACCATCCACCCATCCCACCAGCCGGCTAAAGATTTTTGGCCGGATCTTCCCTGTTCATATTCCTCAAACAATCTCTGCTAGCCTGCCCTCCTCTCGGGGTCCGTCCATTTCCTCAAACAATCTCTGCTAGCCTGCCCTCCTCTCGGGTCAGTCCATTTCCTCAAACAATCTCTGCTAGCCTGCCCTCCTCTCGGGGTCAGTCCATTTCCTCAAACAATCTCTGCTAGCCTGCCCTCCTCTCGGGGTCCGTCCATTTCCTCAAAGAATCTCTGCTAGCCTGCCCTCCTCTCGGGTCAGTCCATTTCCTCAAACAATCTCTGCTAGCCTGCCCTCCTCTCGGGGTCCGTCCATTTCCTCAAACAATCTCTGCTAGCCTGCCCTCCTCTCGGGTCAGTCCATTTCCTCAAACAATCTCTGCTAGCCTGCCCTCCTCTCGGGTCAGTCCATTTCCTCAAACAATCTCTGCTAGCCTGCCCTCCTCTCGGGGTCCGTCCATTTCCTCAAACAATCTCTGCTAGCCTGCCCTCCTCTCGGGTCAGTCCATTTCCTCAAACAATCTCTGCTAGCCTGCCCTCCTCTCGGGGTCAGTCCATTTCCTCAAACAATCTCTGCTAGCCTGCCCTCCTCTCGGGGTCCGTCCATTTCCTCAAACAATCTCTGCTAGCCTGCCCTCCTCTCGGGTCAGTCCATTTCCTCAAACAATCTCTGCTAGCCTGCCCTCCTCTCGGGGTCAGTCCATTTCCTCAAACAATCTCTGCTAGCCTGCCCTCCTCTCGGGGTCCGTCCATTTCCTCAAAGAATCTCTGCTAGCCTGCCCTCCTCTCGGGTCAGTCCATTTCCTCAAACAATCTCTGCTAGCCTGCCCTCCTCTCGGGGTCCGTCCATTTCCTCAAACAATCTCTGCTAGCCTGCCCTCCTCTCGGGTCAGTCCATTTCCTCAAACAATCTCTGCTAGCCTGCCCTCCTCTCGGGTCAGTCCATTTCCTCAAACAATCTCTGCTAGCCTGCCCTCCTCTCGGGGTCCGTCCATTTCCTCCTCCAATCTCTGCTAGCCTGCCCTCCTCTCGGGGTCCGTCCATTTCCTCCTCCAATCTCTGCTAGCCTGCCCTCCTCTCGGGGTCCGTCCATTTCCTCCTCCAATCTCTGCTAGCCTGCCCTCCTCTCGGGGTCCGTCCATTTCCTCCTCCAATCTCTGCTAGCCTGCCCTCCTCTCGGGGTCCGTCCATTTCCTCAAACAATCTCTGCTAGCCTGCCCTCCTCTCGGGGTCCGTCCATTTCCTCAAACAATCTCTGCTAGCCTGCCCTCCTCTCGGGGTCCGTCCATTTCCTCCTCCAATCTCTGCTAGCCTGCCCTCCTTTCGGGGTCCGTCCATTTCCTCAAATAAACTCTGCTAGCCTGCCCTGCTAATAGATGGCGATTCCCGATTACCGTAGACTCCCCCGAACCGAACTGTTCCCAAGGTTCAAAAAACACCCCCAAAAAGCGCAAAAATGTTCACTTTCTCGCGCCTCGAAGACTCGTTTTCGCTGTCGCGCCCTCGAGGGTGGCGATTTTCCGAGACGCTCCGCTTCCGAGGGGTGTACGGGTGGTGGAATGGAATGGAATGGCGGTGGGAAAGTGTGCAAATTAGGGGGCAAGCATCCTAAATAAAAAAGCCTCTGCCAGCCTGCCCGCCTTAAGAATCTCTGCTCGATTTTAATAATGTTTTAGTAACATTTAACTAGATTTAAAACTGGAAAACAATAAAAACGTAGAAAATTTCTTAAATGAACTGTGGAAAAGTAAAAAAATACAAAAAACTTATACAAAAACTCGTGAGTGAAATTCGAAATCGAAGAAATAGAGCATTTTTCCTCGAGATGGTTTGTCTGTATTCCTAATGAAAATTTGCATTTTTTGCGTTTTGGACAGTTGTAAAAAACCGCTTACAAAGCAATTCCACTAGTTTTTTACAGTAATTTTAGCGTTAGAAAAAATTGTTTACCTCTTTGTACCATGATACCCTGGTCAATTTACATGGCGTAACCGTTTCGCGCTGCTCCTTTTTGACGGGCGTATCGCCACGGAAATGCCGTTTTCTTGAATCATATTTTTTGCAGGTAAATGTGAGAGCAAAATGCGACTGCCGACCGCCAGATACGAGCCCTACATGCAGGTAATAGTTATTTGGCCCGTCTGAAGCCGAATTCAACTCGAGGGGGGTGGGTGGGAAGGAGCTACGGCTTGGGTCTCTTCGCATTCGGATAGAGCGTCGTCAGAAACCCCCAAACTAATCAAGAACAGAATCTAAGCGCTACATTTTCATATTTAAAAATCGATATTTCAAATTTGGTAGTAAAAACGGCTGTTTGCACGATTTCGGGCATAGTGAGCCAGGTCGCGCGCGTTTCGGCGAGGGGAGGGAGCGCAAGGGAGTACCCCCCCCCCAACTCCAGCCGCTTGCAGCGGAAAAGCTGGAGTATTGTATAAAAAGTTATGGCAAAAATGGCACATCGCACGTGTCAAAATTCATAGGAAAGCCACAGCCCTCTCTTGCCACTCCCTTTAAAGGTACCAAAATTAGGAGGGACGGTATCAAAATTAACTTCTGAACCGGTTACGTCATGAAACACTACGTTTCCAGAAATTCTACGAGTCACTGGGCAGATCGATCGGCTCCCATCCATGGCTATACATTATTGCTCTCCTCACCTTCACCCTCATCTCATCGGCCGGTCTCCTGCGCTTTCATCAGGTTTTTCATGCTCCTTTCTTACTTACTTTCTCACCAATTTTTTAAAGACAAAGGCAAACAAGACAAGTGCTTCTAAACTGTTTTCTTACTATCCCTTAACGTAAAAACATTACAAAATTGTAGTAAAAAATACAAAAAATATCGATTTTTCGACCAAATGTGGCCATTTCTGGACCAAATTTCCGCTTTTTAAAAATGTTTCCAAAGTTTTTTTAGCGAGTTTTCTAGGCTGCAATATCGTTTTGAAGACCATGATCTTCCTATGAACTTATTGCCTAGATTTATGCAAAAAACATGGTCCCCCCCCCCGATAATGCGAAAGTACCCAATTTTTATAGATTGAATTCAGATCAACAATGCCCGACTGACATTCACCGATTCGCGAGCCCCGTCGAGATATGAGGGACGGGTGGTTGAACAATTCCTACGCCAAAACGGCACCCTCAGCATTGTCGAGGTACGTCAAAAGCCACGCACGTTTTCCGGGCGTCATTTGTATGGGTATGTCGTCGAAACAGAAACAGATTTTGTGAACTTCGAAATTGACAACCAGATACTCGCACCAAAATGGATTCCAGGTGCTCGTATCGGCCCGCGACAACGGCAGTCTGTTACGCCCCGACCAATTTGGACAACTCCAAAAGTTCGCCCGCGACATCAGGAAGCTGACCGTGTGGTTAGTGTTTAAAGACCGCTAGAACTCTGGAACGCACACTGTCACCCCGAAGGTGCGGCCCCCAAGAACGCGCGGAGAGAGGCGTCATTAGGAGTGCCCCGTATTGGGCAAAGGCCCTCTGGGGTTTGGGGCACCCCAGACTCCCTTCCCCCACTTGGCCCTCTGGTATAGTGGCTAGCGCGTCGGACTGTGGAGCGAACCATCGCGGGTTCGACCCCGCCCGGTGCGCAACTTTCTTTTCCTCAACGGAATTTCATCGTTCTGACGTTCTTTAAAGGAACTAGGAAGGCAAGGTTGTGACTTGAGTTAACCTTGACTTGGTGGCAATGACTAATAATTCCCGGGACCCGCGAACCGCGACGCGTCGGCCACTTGGTCGACGTCAAGCGGGCGTAACCTGTTACGCAATGAAAGAATAGATCCTTCAGGAAAGCCATAAGCATGCCTTGCAGACCTATTTAAAGGGATAAGTAAGACCCACATAGCTCAGGGCTCATCTACAATTGGCAAGTTTCCATTTGATTTTGAAATTTCATTCGACATTGGATGATTTCAGGGATGACGGCCCAAAACGGCGCATCGGATTCGCCGATCTGTGCGAGCCGTATTGCCAGAAAAACGCTGCGTTTGATGCGGTCACCCGGGTCATTGATGCCAATTTGAGCAGCGTTGAGGTGCGATTTTTGATTTTTTTCAATAGCATCGATTTTTGGCCAAAAAAAATTCCATGTTTCAACTATCAAAAAAGCCACAATTTTTAGATCGCTTATCCGACAACGGAAATCCTTGGGGAAAAGGTGTTCATCGCCAACAACTTCTACCGCATCCGCGTCGACCTCGAGACGAAACGGCTGTTGGTGGGTGGTGGAGTCTAGCGCTAACGGAACCGTCAAGGCATGGCTATGGATTCCGCGGGATCGCGACGCGAAGCGACTTCGCGACGTACAACGCGCCTGAGGCACGCAACGCGCATGAGGCACGCAACGCGTCCAGCGACATGCAGCGCGGCCACACGCAAGACGCCCGCGAGCCGCAACGCGCCCGCGACATGCACACGTCCGAGACACGCAACGCGTCCGCGACATGCAACATGCCCGCGACACGCAACACGCGCGTGACATGCAACACGCCTGAGACACGTAACGCGTCCGCGACACGCAACAGGCCCGCGACACAAAGCGCCCTCGACCACCCATCACATGCGGCGCGGCCGCGACACGCAACGCGACTGAGGCACGCAACGGGCCCGCACCTCCATTACGAACAGTTTACGGTAGACGGGTGGCGTGCGCGTTGCGTGTCGCGAGCCCCTAAAGGCACGCGGAAGCAAAGACTGGGCTTTCTGGCTATGGATTTGGCATACCCCGTGATACGCAACGCGCGCCGCATTTAAGGCGGGGTGCGCATTGCGTGTCGCATGCGCGGCAAAATCCATAAGGAATCGATGGTCAATAAAATCCATGGCGATGCCTTGCCGGGCCCGTTAAAAAAACAAGTGAGGCTACAGAGAACAAAAATCCAAAATGGCTTTTAGGATTTCCGGACGGTATTGCTGCACTATTTCCTCGTCCACCCTGACCCGTCATTAATGCTCAAATGGGAGAATGAGGTAACAAACCTGCATTTTTAACTAATTTTATTTGTCAATAAATAATTCTTTCAATAAATTCCATAATTAAATCTCTTTTTTATGAAAAGTTGGATCGATTTAGGAAACCTATTTAATAAAACGTTTTAACAAAAATATTTTATTTAACGCCTTTTTAAGCTGGTAAAGTTGTGCTACGCGTCGAAACGCTACAACTTTCTTCGCGTCCTCGTTGTCACCGATTCCCTCGTCGCCAAGGAGGTTAAGGTACCAATTTTTGGTTTTTCAGTATCTTGCTCAGTTTTAGTAATTTCAAATGAAAAATTTTTAAATTGTGGTTTCAAGTAAAATAGTCGTTAAAAATCTATTTCCCAAAATGCATCTTTTCTGTCTACTCTGTAACCCTTTTAATAACATTTCAATGTAAATTTCAATCCCAGAAACTCGGCACCGACACGGCACCACTTCTCTCTATCGCACTCGCCGCGCTGATGGTTTTCCTCTGCGTCTCTTCGTTACGGTAATTAGCCGATTTGGCAGTCTAGCAGAGATTGTATGAGGAAATGGACGGACCCCGAGAGGAGGGCAGGCTAGCAGAGATTGTTTGAGGAAATGGACGGACCCCGAGAGGAGGGCAGGCTAGCAGAGATTGGAGGAGGAAATGGACGGACCCAGAGAGGAGGGCAGGCTAGCAGAGATTGTTTGAGGAAATGGACGGACCCCGAGAGGAGGGCAGGCTAGCAGAGATTGGAGGAGGAAATGGACGGACCCCGAGAGGAGGGCAGGCTAGCAGAGATTGGAGGAGGAAATGGACGGACCCCGAGAGGAGGGCAGGCTAGCAGAGATTGTTTGAGGAAATGGACGGACCCCGAGAGGAGGGCAGGCTAGCAGAGATTGTTTGAGGAAATGGACGGACCCCGAGAGGAGGGCAGGCTAGCAGAGATTGTTTGAGGAATCTCCCCCGCTCATTGTCATTTTCCAGCTATCACCGAGAAGAATCGAAGCCAGTCGAGGCGGTGCTCGGCGGGGCGATCCCCATATTGGCATCAGGTAAGCCGCGCGTTGCGTTTCGCGGGCGTATTCCAATCCATGTTCATGTTCCCTATAGAGGTATATAAAACCAGAGCTTTTAGTGGCGACCATCGGCATCGTGTCGGCCACCGGATTGGCGTTCCAAAGTATTGTCGTCAGTACGCTGTTTCTATTGTTGGCGATAGGTAAGTGAGCTCTGTCTCTCTCTCTCTCTCTCTCTCTCTCTCTCTCTCTCTCTCTTTTTTCTCTGTCTCCCTCTCTCTCTCTCTCTGCCTTTTTCCCACTATGTTTAAGGGGTGGACGACGTTTTCATCATGTTGGCCGCATGGCATCGTACGGATCGAAGATGTCGGGTGGAGGAACGGGTCGCCGCAACTGTTCGGGTACCTTTTCAGGGCTTGTCACGAAATACAATTAGGTACCTTGTGCAAGGGGGGGGGGCGTCGCGTCTGCGTTGCGTGTCGTCGTTTGCGTTGCGCGCTGGTATGAGGCGACCCACGACGCCTCAAATCCATACACTAGCCGTAACCCTCCTTTAAAGCGGCTACGACATCGAATCGTTCGCCCGCTCCACGTGAATCCATGGCAAAAATCGTTGGAGTGCAGTTTACCCCCCCCCCCAGCCTGTAGGCAACTTTTGTATCTCGGCTCCCTGTTCATCCACAGGTGTGTAAAGTATACTAAAATGTTCGTCTTGCTTTGGCGAGTATTTTGGTATACTTTACACACCTGTAGATGAACAGGGAGCCGAGATACGGTAGGTGGGGTCGGCCCCCAGCCGCTGCGCCTCTCGGTTCTCTACCCTCTAGCTGTTTTAACTATCAAAAGTGAAGGACAGAACCGCCGGTCGAGAAATTCGGTGCGCTTACAGGGCATTACGACATGTAATCCGGATCCGGGATCCCATTACGCCATGTAATTAATGCAAATTTCAGGAAGCGGGCTGCTCGATGACGGTGACCACCGTGACCAATCTAATCTCATTCGGCAATGGCGTCTTTTCGTCCACACCCGTCCTTCAGGTCGGCCATTCTAAAGGGACAGTGTCAGCAAGGCAAAACGCCAAAATCCCGACGTTTAAAATCCCGACAGCCAAAATCCCGCCAGCCAGAAACCTCAGATTCGAAAATCATTTATTGGTAAAACGGCCGTAAATGTCACATTTTGGCTGTCGGGATTATGGATCAAATTCTGTTTTGTGGAGCTCAACACCAAAAAAATTTCAAAAAATTGCCAATTTGGCCGGGCTTTTTAGCACTAAAAAAGATGTTTCATAAAATTTTAAAAACTCAAGATTTTTCACGGGATTTTAGGATTGCAGTTAAATCATAAATTGCTTCTTAATCCTTGTTTTATGGTAATTATTTAATTTTTTAATTCCATTTATTTTATTGAAATTCTATCTAAAAATTTGAAACTGATTGAAAACACTCATCAAAAAATCAACTTTGAAATTTTTTTTTAGATTTCAAATATTTTTAAATTAAAAAATATCTATTTGTAAATAGTTGGATAAAATTATATAAAATGAATTTTCCGCTCTTTAATTAAAAAAGCTTCGAATTATTTGAATTTAGACGTTCGCCATCTACTCTACCGTAGCCTCGGCGGTGTGCTTTGTCTTTCAGCTTCTCCTCTTTCCGGCCATTTTGGCCCTGACCGCCAATAGGGAAATACGAGACGATACTGTAGCCAACAAGAAACGGTACCTTTTTTCGGAAGGCATATGACGAAAAATTCAGACACTCCTGCCTCCCGGATCGTCTAGAATTCGTCAAAAAGGGCGGTATTGCGCACGACGACATTTTTCGGCGGCTTTCCGATTGGGTTTGCTCAACATGGATGAGGGTTACCGTGGTTCTGGTGCGTTTTTGGAAAACTATGCGGTCGAGGCAGGTTAGCAGAGATTGTTTGAGGAAATGGACGGACCCCGAGAGGAGGGCAGGCTAGCAGAGATTGGAGGAGGAAATGGACGGACCCCGAGAGGAGGGCAGGCTAGCAGAGATTGTTTGGGAAATTGAAATCCTTCCTTCAGTTCCTATGCATCTACTGGTCGATTTCGCTATATGGTGCCCTTCAAGCGCGTACCGAGCTGGGCATCCAGCACTTTGCCGATAAATCCAGCCTAACCGCCCAATTTAAGGTGGAACACGAGGAGGTTATTAAGGTGAGCCAACGAGGAATATGTACTTCTTTTAAAGGGACTCTGAAGTCAAAACTCGCGTGTGTCGAAGATTCTCATTTTGTTGGCTGCTTTGGCATGAGGCGAAAATTTTTCTAAAAATAACAAAAAAGATTTCCGATTTTCGAGTGTTCGGATATTATTGTTAATTACTATTATTGATTTTTTAAATTTAAGACAACATTGCCAGAGCAGATGTAATTACTGTTCAATTTTAGTCAATGCAAACGCTGGCCATCGTCGTGCAGACGCCGGGCGATCTGCGAAATAGCACGAATATGGAGAGACTTAGGTCGATGATCAGGTGGGTCGTTTTAAAGGGACCGGGAAGTCACGTCCTATTTGCCTTCATCATCCGATTCAGGGCCTTCGAGACAGAGCAATACTCTTACGGGGCCGAGTCGACGTTTTACTGGCTGGAGCGGTACGAGGAATTCCTGCAATTCTACGAGGTCACCGACGAGGAAGGGGTCGGTTTAGGCTTGGGCTTAGGCTTAAACCTGACTTTGGCTTTGGCCTAAGCTGGTATTTTGTATTTGGCGTAGGCTTAAATTAGGCTTCAGTTGGGCTTAGGGTTAGGTTTGTGTTTAGGTTTTAGGCTTGGGTTTAGGCTTGGGCTTGGTTCAGGCTTAGTCTTGGGCTGAGTTCAGGCTTGAGCTTGGGCTTGGGCTTGGGTTTCGGCTTAGGCTTTGGCTTAGGTTGAACTTGGGCTTGGGCTGGGGCTTAGTCTCAAGCTCAGTTAGGCTTGGATTCTCCCTGATAAATTACGATTTTCTTCTGTGAGAGCCGATTTTTAGAAGGAGAAATTCACCTACGTGTACCTGCCGGATTTTTTGGCCTCGCCTGCTAAACAACACTATCGAGGGACAATAAAGGTTAGTCGTTTGGAAAGTGAGAGACAGAGAGAGAGAGAGAGAGAGAGAGAGAGGGGAGAGAGAGAGAGACAGAAAGAGACAGAGAGAGACAGAGAGAGACAAAGAGAGTGAGAGAGATGGAGGGAGAGAGAGAGAGAGAGAGAGAGAGAGTGAGAGAGATACTAGCGAGAGCGACGGCGGCATCTTCAGATGAACGAGTCAGCCTGCCGGGTGGACCATCCAGATTGTATCACTTCGTTTCTCCTCACCACAGGCTTCACTACCGTATCCCAGTAGGTCATTGCCGACTGTCCGATTTTTATCCACTTTTTAGCTACAACGAGATGCATCCGCTCATCGAAAAATGGCGGGCAATTTCCAGAAAATATCCGGAATTCGCGGCCGTCTCCTACACCGAAAGACATATGTTTGCCGATCAGGTCGTTCCTCCGGAGCGTTTTTAAGATATCGAAATTGGCTTCAAAGCCCACTCAAAAACCGAAGTAAGCCGAACCGAGGCATCTGAAGCCTAAACTAACAAGGAAACCTCCCCAGCTCGAAGTTGGACTTCGATTAGCCATATAGCCTATCTGATGCAGTTTTTCACGCTGATAACGATACAAATATTTATTTTTGCCGAGCGCCACAGGAACATTGTTAAAAATCGATTTAAAGTTTTGTCATGTTTGGCAGCCCCGCCTCAAAGCCCCTCCCCACGGGGAAGGATCCATCGGCGGCGTGGTGTTATGTCAAGCTTCATTTCTGCACCAAGGTAAGGGTTTTGAGGTCATAAAATTCATGAGGTCCAACTTCGAGCTGGGGAGGTTTCCTTGTTAGTTTAGGCTTCAGATGCCTCGGTTCGGCTTACTTCGGTTTTTGAGTGGGCTTGAAGCCAATTTCGATATCTTAAAAACGCTCCGGAGGAACGACCTGATCGGCAAACATATGTCTTTCGGTGTAGGAGACGGCCGCGAATTCCGGATATTTTCTGGAAATTGCCCGCCATTTTTCGATGAGCGGATGCATCTCGTTGTAGCTAAAAAGTGGATAAAAATCGGACAGTCGGCAATGACCTACTGGGATACGGTAGTGAAGCCTGTGGTGAGGAGAAACGAAGTGATACAATCTGGATGGTCCACCCGGCAGGCTGACTCGTTCATCTGAAGATGCCGCCGTCGCTCTCGCTAGTATCTCTCTCACTCTCTCTCTCTCTCTCTCTCTCTCTCTCTCCCCTCCATCTCTCTCTCACTCTCTTTGTCTCTCTCTGTCTCTCTCTGTCTCTTTCTGTCTCTCTCTCTCTCTCCCTCTCTCTCTCTCTCTCTCTCTCTGTCTCTCACTTTCCAAACGACTAACCTTTATTGTCCCTCGATAGTGTTGTTTAGCAGGCGAGGCCAAAAAATCCGGCAGGTACACGTAGGTGAATTTCTCCTTCTAAAAATCGGCTCTCACAGAAGAAAATCGTAATTTATCAGGGAGAATCCAAGCAAGCCCCGCCCATTCCGATGAAAACACAGCTGAAATCAGATTTGGTGGACAATCGACAAATGACCGTCCAGAGCCCTTTGTGATGTTATTTCTGTGCTTTAAACTACCGTAATCGCATGTACTTTAAAGGGACGGGCAAGGGATGTCGATATATATTTTGCTGGCGCAGCGTTCCCTTCATTCTATAGATTTTTCCGAGCCCGCGACTCGCAACGCGGCCGCCGCTTGGGGGTTTTCAGCTGGGATTAGTCGACTATACGCGTTGCGTGTCGTTTCACCATTGGGGATCCAAAGTAAAAACTCGAGGCAGCTGCCTTGCCAGTCCCTTTAATGATGAATAGATCACAATTTAGTTGATTGTGCTCAATGTCAGCGCTTGTTTTTCGGTTTTTTCGGTGTTTCTCCGTCGATTGCTTGTTTTTATCGTTATTTCACAGCCAACATAAATACGGGCACATTTTAAGACAAATCTTTTCTGAAATCAGCACCCTAAAAGCGGGAAGAATCTGCTTTAAAGGGGCTCGGAAGTCAACATTTGCGCGTGCGTGGATTGAACCTACTCGTCAAAAAAGGACAGCGTCACTGCCGGAAAGTACCAGAAAAGTGATTTCGGTGCGAAAAAAAAACGTAAAATATTTGGGTAAAACCAGAAAAGTTCTTGGGGGCGAAAAAGACTTTGGATTGCGGGGGATTAAATGTCGTAATGCGTTGTGAGCAGGGTTGTTCGCGGACGGACGCGGACGGTACGGGACGTGCCGGAAAAAATTTTACTTACGAGCAAATATGTGTAATATATCTTGTTCACAAAAATTTGCAGGACTGTCCGCTGAAACATCATGTTTTCCGGTCGCAATGCGATCATCGCCATCGGCTCGGACAACATCAGGCGCGGTCGAAGCCAGGTGCTTCTTTAAACGGGCTTGGAAATGCGAAAATTGAGCTAGCGCGGAAACCCTGAGTGTACATTAAAACCTACATTAAAAACTGATATGAAAACTTATAAACTACAGGGTGTCCCAAAAAAACGACCCATCTGGCATTTCGCCGTGTTACATCCAATCGGTCCCAAATTTGGATCAGCGGTGTATCAGACCCTAAATAACAACAATCCTGACTTATAGCCCTGTAGCTATCGTAGTTCTCGAGTTATAGCGAAATATGTAATATGTAACCCTCATTTTGGCCAAAAACCTCTGATTTTCCAGATGTTGCAATAAATTTTCCAAAAGTGTTTTAGTGGTCGGAAACGACTAAAAACATTATTAATTCATATTTTCATTAAATACTAGGTAGACATAGTCTCAAATAGCATTGGCAATCACTCGCAAGCTCTAAAAGCAACCTGATTTAAGCGGATTTGATTTTTGAATGGGTTACTTTTTGTATTGCATACAACGATTTACAATTGGAAAGAAAACGTTGATTTGAAATTATACAAAAAAACGTAGCTTGCAAATTGAGAGGCTGGCAGGCCTGGGATGTTTGCTTGAAAAGGCTTTGAACGAAAATATTAACCATGAATTTGGGTGTTGATTGAATGGATCCCGGCCTTCGAGAGCACTTCAAATTTCGAAACATTTTTTGGTATTAAGGCAGGAAATTAGTCTACATTTTTACGGCAACCGGCCAAAAAATGAGAGAGAGAGAGAGGTCGCGAGAGATAGATAGAGAGAGAGGGGGAGAGAGAGAGAGAGAGAGAGAGAGAGAGAGAGCATGTACAGGGTGCAGGGCGATTTTAACACCCATTTAAACCATAAAAATAGACCTTTTGAACTTTCAAAACTATGCAGCCCTACTAATTCGAACATGCTCTTTCCGATGGCATCAAAAAAAATGGGTCGAAAAAAACTGTGCCAAGCCTTGTTCGGGTCCCTCGCGAATGGCCTTTTAACACGTTCTTCCGGTAGGTTAGTAAATTGGTTAATGGATAAAAAAATTCGGATTCCCCCCCCCCCCCAGAAATAACAAAGAACCAGCTCACTTTGTCCAACACAACCAATTGGTTTCTTGCAGATTTGAGCAGGAACGACGTCGGTGGCCGCTTTACTGAAAAAGATTGCATTATGCGATACTACAGGGTGTCCCAAAAAACCCCCCTCGGCATTTGGAGGTCTTCCCCGTCCGATCGGGACCAAATTTTTACCAGCGATCGGGACTCATAAAACTATGTGCAGCCGAATTTCCTATGCAAAATATTGTAAAACAAAAAAATTTTCGGAGACGTAATTTTCGGAAATCAAAAAATTCCTCCGGGGGAAAAAGTCCCTCTTCATTCTCGCTAAACATTTCGACGTCGACATCCGTGAAAGACAAGGTGAAATCGGAAAAATGAACCTTAATATCGACCACACTTTTTTGTTTTACATATATTTGTCTTATACAAGAAAACGTTGATTTGAAATTATACAAAAAAAGTTAGCTTGCAAATTGAGAGGCTGGAAGGCCTGGGATGTTTGCTTGAAAAGGCTTTGAACGAAAATATTAACCATGAATTTGGGTGTTGATTGAATGGATCCCGGCCTTCGAGAGCACTTCAAATTTCGAAACATTTTTTGGTCTACACAGGAAATTGGTCTACATGTTAACGGCAACTAGCTAAAAAATGAGAGAGAGAGAGAGAGCGCAAGGGATATTGGAGATAGATAAAGAGAGAGACAGAGAGAGACAGACAGAGAGAGAGAGAGAGAGAGAGAGAGAGCGAGCTCGCGTGTACAGGGTGTCCCAAAAAAACCCCTCGGCATTTGGCCGCCTTCTATCAGATGGGGAGCACATTTTTTACCAGCGATGGGGACCCATAAAAACTATGTGCCGCGGAAGTTTCTAAGCAAAATATTGTAAAACAAAAAAGTTACCGCTAAATATTAATTTTTGGGAAGTGCTGGTACTAATTTTTGGCGTTTTCGCAAGATTTTGAGTAAATTGCCAAAAAATAGTCATTTCACGGTCGGTTTCTGCCAATTTTGATAATAAAATGTGATCAAAGGCCCCAATTCAGACGTGATTTTCGTAAACTAAAAATTTTCACTGGGTGGAAAACAGTGCCCGCTTCATTCTCGCTAAACATTTCGACGTCGAAATCCGTGAAAGACATGGTGAAATTGGAAAAATAGACCTTAATTTCGACCACACTTCTTTGTTTTACAATATTTTTCTTGGGAACTTTGGCTGCACATAGTTTAGTGTACAGAATTTTGCAACAATACCAATTAAGAAAAAACAACTACAATTAGTGCATCTTGTTCAGCAGAAAAAGCGCTTGGAATGAACTATAATACAAACGCGGAAATCTCTTCGATGACCTCGACCTGGCCGGTGAACTCAAAAAATTTTTTTGATGAATTATTTGCAAATGGTACGTATTATAACTCGTTTGAAAGCGCTTTTTCTGCTGAATAAGATGCACTAATTGGTTGCGGCAATTGGTTTGGTTGTTGGTTGCCATTGCCCGGGTCGTTACATGTCCATAAAGGTCCGATTTCGGGCGATTTTACCAACTTTGAGGCTTCATAACTTTTTCACGGTTCCGTTTAGCCGATTCTGAGTACAGATTCGGAATCCCCGTGTTCAACTCTTTGAGAACCGCTTATTTTGGCAAAGAAATGTCACTCTAAGTTGGAGCACTTTCCTTGCAAGTTTTCGTGTTTCGTTGGTGCAGGTATTCAATCAATTCTATAAAAACAACTAATTTATTTCCGAATCATAACGCGGCACGCAAGGCGACACGCGACGCGACACGCGACGCGGCACGCAACGCGGCAGGCAACGCGGCACGCAACGCGACACGCAACGCGCCACGCGTCGCGAGCTGCAACGTGACAATTTGTTTGTTTCAACAGTTGATAGGTGGCATGGCGAGGTGAATAGATCAATCATGCACCCAGTGGCAGAAATCACAAAATCTTTGCAAAACTAGACATTACTAATATCTTTATAGACATCCGCGCCAAAAGAACCATTTTCCCCGCAACGCAACGCC